AGTGTATTTACATTAATGTAGGCAAAACACAAACAAAAAAAGTAAAAATTAAAACACCAAAAAACTAAAAAAAAAAAAAAGAAAAAGAAAAAGAAAAAGAAAATAAAGACCACAAAATAGGGACATGGTAGCACCGGCCTGTAATCCTAGCACGTGGGAAACTGAAGCAGGAGGATCAAGAGTTCAAGGCTATCCTGGGCTACATAATAAGCCTCTACTCCAGCCCCAAATTACACATTGAAGGGACACCCTCAGACCTTGGGGTAGGAGGGTACCCTCAATTGAGGCTTAGTGGTGAGGGACCTATCCCCCATCAGGTGCTCCCTCAGACACTTAGGTAGGGGTGTTCCTGGGGACTGGTTTTAGACCCTATAGGACACAGCCCAATCCCACCCTTGTTCCTCCACAGAGGCCCTCGGAGACCCCAGAGTCCTGCCCTGCCAACAAGCTAGGGGATGACCTGTGTTGCCCTTGCCCCCCTGCTTTTCTTTTTTTCTTCCCTAAACTACCTGAGTTAGCATGGGCTTGAAGAGAGAAAACAGGGTTGTATTTCTTTGGAGCCTTCAGGAAGCCCCCAAAATTTCACAAAGCTGAGGAGCTGATTGGCCTTTGAACAGTCTGGGGTACAATTGCCTCAGTTTCCCGGCTAAGAACATCCTGTCTCTCTGCTTTAAAGGGAATGATGGTGTTGGTCATGTAGCACATGCCTTTAATCCCAGCACTCGGGAGGCAGAGGCAGGTGGATCTCTGTGAGTTCAAGGCCAGCCCAGTCTACATATCGAGTTCCAGGTCAGCTGGGGCTACAGGGAGACCGTCTGAAAAAAAAAAAAAAATGTAACTTGGAGGTGGTCTGAGGCTTATGAGGAGATAGGAGAATCATCTTCAAGCTGTCCAAACTTTCTTTTCTTTGTAATTTTTTATTTATTTGTATTTTATGTGTATGAGTGTTATGCCTGAATGTGTATAAGTGCATCTGTGCCATGCAGTGCCCGTTGGAGGACAAAAGAGGGCATCGGATCCTCTGGAACTGTAGTTACAGATGCTTGTTAGCTGCCATGTGGGTGCTGGGATTCGAACCCAGGTCTTCCGCAAAAACAGCCAGTGCTCTTAATTGCTGAGCCAATGTCTCCAGCTCCTACAATTATTTATTTAGTATGTTGTGCATGTGTGGGCATGCACACCCATACTATAGTGCAGGTGTGTGGGTCAGAGGATAACTTGCTGCTGTTATTTTCTTCTTCCACTATCCTGAGGATGGGGCTCAGGTGTCAGGCTTGGTAACAAGCAACCTCTTACCTGCTTAACCATCTCATTGGCTCCCTAGCTGCTCTTCCTAGCTCTTTCAAATCTGAGGTCCTCCCAGGGCATCCCAGAGCTCTACTCCCCCGCCCCCACCCCCACCTCCATTTCTTGGTCCTGGGCTCAGTTAGAAAGCCAAACAGCTGAGCTGGCCCTTCCTATCCTCCCCTGGTCACTGATCTACTATAATAACTGCTGTGTCGCCTTAATCCCCCCTCCCAAACTATCCACGTGGGGGGAGGGCAGGGGAAGCGGGCTCCAGGGTCTCTGCCTAATTCCAGATTAGCGGAACAAGTACCTGCCCCCACTCGGGTCCTCCTAGGTAGACCTCCCCTCCCCCATCCTCTATTTGGTTCAAGTGCAGCTTGATCCATCTCAGGGTTCAAACCACAACTCCCAATACCAGCACTGGCCCAGAGCCTCAGTCCCTCCACTTGCAACCCCGCAGTGGCCTGGCCGTCCCTCATCCCCCACCCCCACGCCACAGGATCCATCCCCTTCCACCCAGAAAGCTGGCTAAGGCTACACCGCTCACCCACGAACTTGGTCTAGCTGAGAACCCTCTGTTCTTGCAAATCCCCCTCGGATTCTTGGGGAGGGTCCCAATAAAAGCAGAGGACAGATATAGTTCTAGCTTCTGGGGTCCCCTGGGGCTGTTGGTGGGGGCCGGTTCTTACTTCACGTTCTTCATCCTCCCACGTTTGGAGTCCCCTTGAGCCGGGAGAAAAGTGGTTGTGGAGGTTGGAGATTCGGAAGGGTTTTTTGTTTGTTTGTTTTTTAAAAATAAGAACAGCAAAGGGGTGGGGGGGAGCTGGGTGGCAGGAATACAAGGTCTGCCCCTCTAAGAGCCCGGGAGAGGGATGCACGGGAGAGAAGGGACGCACAGGGGCGAGGGCTTGGGCCCGGGACGCTCCACCGCGCAGAGATTGAGCCTGGGAGGGAGGTGGAATACGGGGGTGCGGTAGGAATCCCCCCAAACCCAGCAGCTATTCGGGCTCAGCCGGGGCCTGGAGGGGGGGTGGGGGCGCGCTCGGATCCCCGCTCGCTCTTTGCTGGTTCGCTCAGCGCGGCGCTGGGGGAGGCGGGAGCGTGAGTCACGGCGACTCCCAATTTAGGTACCGGAAGGGGGGTTCTGCAGGCGGGGGCCGTGGGGAGGAGGCTCGGCTTGTTTACTCGCCTGAAAAGGGCAGGGGTATGATGCGGCCCCCTCCAAAACTGCCCTCTCCGCGCACCCCGGACCTGCCTCAGTTTATCTCCGGTAGAATAGCTTTGAAGTCTTTAAAAAAAGAGAGCCAGTGATTGGGCAGGCGAGATAGCTCAGCAAGTTAAAGGCGCTTGCGCCCTCAAGCCCGAGGGCCTGAGTTCGATCCCTGAGACACACATGGTGGAGCGTACCTACTTTTATGGGTTGTCTTCTGAGATCCCCTCTTCAAGGCATGTAAGGGGAATTTGCAAGGACTGAGGGTTCCCAGATAGGACAAATTCTTGGGGAGTAGGGTCGAGAGGTGTAGCTTTAGCCAGATTTCTGATTGGAGATACTATCCCCCGAGGTGGGGGACGTGCCCCCCGCCAGTAGGTAATATTAAACACAAATTATTTTAAAAAGGCAGCGAAACCTCTATACGAGACATACGGGGATCCCCAAAGAAAACACCCCAGAAACACCCCCAAAAGGCCCCAAGGCCAGCACACAGACACACGCCAACAGGCGAGGACTCTCCGAACATCACCATCAGAGGACTGGGGCGGAATCGTTTGCACAACTCCCAGCAGCACCCACCCATCAAAATTACAACCCAACATCCGAGTGCGTGGGACACGTTCACAGCCCCGGGCCGCCAGAGCAGACCCCACGGGGACGCCCAACCCTCCTGACAGGCGACACACGTGCTCGCGCTCTCACATCCTCACACCCCCGGACACACAGACATACACGCCAAGCGAAACACAGCCAACCACGTGCATGCACAGACATCGAAAACACAGACAACCCTCGGAAGGGGCCACGTGCGTTCACATCCCGCCCCGGGTGGGGAGGGCACACACCGTCACCATCCTGCGTGTCAGGGAACATCTCTTGCATGTGGTCACTGCTGACTTGCAGACACCAGGTCTGGTGGCATGGGGACCCCCCAAAAAAAAGCAATCTGGGAAAAAAGGTGGGAGGGGGTTCTAAAGGCGAGGCCATGCTAGCCACTGACTCCGCCCCAGCCCTGATGGACCAGGCTGAGTGACACACAGCCAACCAGTCGGGTGTCTCCTTCCAGATCCGATTAACTGTTTAACTCTTTGGTCCCCGTGCATGCTTGATGCTTGGCTGGGAGCTCTTAGAGAGAGGAGAGTGGTGGCATCCCCTCCCCAGCCTGATTGGGACTGTACGTGGGTGTGGAAGGCCACCACCCTCCCCTCCTTGGGTGGCTGCCCCCCACTGGCCCCCGGACGGAGGAGGAGGAGTGTGGGGGTTGGTGGTGGCGCTGTGACAGTCGCCTGGCGGGGTGGGGGGTGCACAGGGAGGGGCGGGACAGGGACTGGAGGCTGGCGCCTGAGCTCCGAGAGAGAGCATAGCCAGGGCTCAGTCAGCCAAGGAGGTGACTGCCAGCCTGCAGGCTTCAAGCCACCACCACCCCTGGGGGTAGACACTCGGCCTGCAACACCCCCGGGTCTGTCTGTCTCCTCCACCCCCCCCCAGGAAGCCATGGTCCCACTGAGGCCGGGCGCCCCTGAGGGCCCCCAAGCGCATCGGATGTCGCATCGCTGAGTTTGGAGAGGCCAAGAGGTCACCTTCCCTCAACACGCCCCCACACCACACCAACTAAGAGTTGGGAGACAAGGTGTGTCATGGAGCCTCCGGCCGTCCCTTCGGAGAGGAGCTTATCCCTGTCTCTCCCCGGACCCCGGGAGGGTCAGGCAACCCTGAAGCCACCTCCCCAGCACCTGTGGCGACAGCCGAGGACCCCCATCCGTATCCAGCAGCGTGGCTACTCGGACAGTGCGGAGCGCTCGGAGTCTGAGCGGGCACCCCACCGGCCCATAGAGCGCGCCGACGCCGTGGACACCTGCGATCGGCCTGGCCTGCGGACCACCCGTATGTCCTGGCCCTCCTCCTTCCACGGCACGGGGACCGGCAGCTGTAGGCGGTGAGACTCCCCCCCACGGAGCGCATGGACGCGCGTGGATCACACAACCGGTCACAGGGGGCGCTGTGGGGCGAGTGGGGTCAGTGTGACCCGCGGGGGCGTCACGGGTCCCCAGGCTGTGCACTGCACAAGAGGCTCTGTATACTGATGAAGGCTCTGGGGTCAAAGGTGTGGGGTTGGGAAGTGGTTGTAGCTTCAGGGGTCTCTGTATGCGGGTACCACTTTGTGGGACTTGTTTTGGGGGGCGGGGAGACAGGGTTTCCCTGTAGCTCCAGCTGGCCTGGAACTCACTTTGTAGATTTGACTGGCCTCAAACTCACTGAGATTTATCTATCTGCCTCTGCCTCCCTGAGTGCTGGGTTAAAGATGTGTGCTACCAACTGGGCTTTGAGGGACTTTCTTGGGGATATTATCCTGAGGGCTGCAGTGCTGTGTTTGGGGTACTCTGTAGGTGGGGTGCCTGAAGGACCATCCTAGTTACTCCAAGCTGGAGGACACTCAAGGTCCCCCTTAGGGGGATGGGCAACCAGATGAGAGGGGCCCTGCAACATCTGGTCTTAGGAATCCAGAGGGGTTACATACACTATGTTGTGAGTCTGGGGGTGAGGAGGGTTGTACTGTGAGTTGGAGCTCCCGAACTTCCAGGCAGGAGTGTTAGAACTCCATTGTACCCCAGAGGCTGGGCACAGCTACAAGGGAGTCCCAGACACCCTGAGGTGACAGTCAGGTGAGGGTGTAGTTAGGGTGGCTTAGGGTGATCTCAAGTGACTGGCTTTGGCTACTTGGGTGCAGTAAGCTGTTTGGGTCTCTGTGACTGTGGGACATGGTGAGACAGTGTGACTTGTGTGCCTCTGGGTACTGTCACTATTCTGGGGCAACTGTGGACTGTCCTCTTCCAGCTGTAACACTTTGCTGTGTGTGCCCAGGAGAGTACCGGTGAATGGGTAACCATGTGTCTCTGGTACTGCAGTTGTGGGTTGTGACTGTGGTGGCATTTGCGACTAAATGACTGTGTCCTCACTGGATGTGGCATGGTGACCATGGGCTTCTGGAACAGTATATGGGGGTCTCTAGGCTCCTGGGGACACCTCCTTTTAGTGACATTGTGTGTGGTTTGGCTGTAGGATGTGTGCCTACCTTCCCAGGGACTAGGTCACTGAATTCTCTCAGCTCTCTGGGACCCTAATGAGATGTTACCTAACCTGCCTGCTTTTTTTCTTTTTCTTTCTTTTTTTGGTCTTTTTGAGACAGGATCTCCCTGTAACCCCAGCTGGCTTAGAACTCACTGTGTAGACCAGGCTGGCCTCCATCTCTCAGAGATAAACCTGCTTCTTCTTCCCAGAGTGCTGGGATTAAAGGTTTGGGACACCACACTTGGCTTTTTTCTCCATTTTTGATTTGTAGTCCAGGCTAGCCTGGAACTCACTAAGTAGCCTAGACTGGCCTTGAACTTGTGACAGTCCTCCTGCCTCAGTCCCCTTAGTGCTGGGATAACAGGTATGTGCCACCTCACCCAGCACGGTCACTAGGGCCAGGTCACAGCCTTGACAGTTGGGACTCTGACTTACCAGCTATGTGCCCATCTGCCCCGGGGCCCTGGTCACTGGTTTCTTTGTGTTACAGGCTACTGGCAGTGATTACAGTGGACTTGTCATGGTGCCCCAGGGTCTAGCTGTGTGTATACCAGGCCCTTTGGTGATTGATAGCTTACATTCACCTAGGAGTGTCTGGTTATTGAAACATCTCTAAAACAGTCACATTTGGGCTTGCTTCTCAGGCCTAAAGTCCCCAAACGAGACCCCTCTAGGCTGTGACTATATTCTTTCTAGATCTTTCTGGAGGACCCCCCCCCTGCCGAAACTCAGCCCTTACAGCTCCCCAGGGCTCTTTTCATGCTCCTTGGTCCTAGCAGGCCTTGTCCATACCAGGCAGCAAGTGTCAGGGACTCCTGTGATTTCTCAGAGGGAACTAAGAAGTAGATAGGAAAACAGCTAGTATCAACAGGAAATTCCAAACCAGAGACAGAGAGCAAAACATGCTCTAGCACTGTCCTCCAAGACCCAGGGAGCGGGGTGGGGTGGGGGAATGGGATGCTAGGAAGCAGGCTCTCTTCCCATTTATGGCCCTAGTGTCTGATGAACCCGCTCTTCGGGGACAGCAACTGAGTGGTAATAATTATTGTTAATGTGCCCTTTCCTTAATGGCTCACTCTCCCTCTGGGCTCCATGCCAGGGAGGGGTGTGTGTGCGTGTGCGTGTGCGTGTGTGTGTGTGTGTGTGTGTGTGTGTGTGTGTACTTTTCTGCATTTCCTCCCCCTTCTCTTGCCCCACTAGTAGCCTGTAAGGTATCCTTGTTGTCCAAGTAGAAAAACTGATCATTGGAAAGATTAAAAAACAAAACCAACAAATGCTTTTTAAAAATTTTAGCTGTGCATGGTAGCCCATGCCTTTAATATCAGCACTTAGGAGGCAGAGGCAGGCAGATCTCTGTGAGTTCGAGGCCAGCTTGGTCTACATAGAGAGTGCCAGGCCAGCTGGGGCTGTAGGGAGACCCTGTCTCAAAAAAATACCCCCCCCAAAAATTAAAAATTAAATTTTTTATTTCTATTTTATGTTTGTTTTGCCTGCATGTATGTAAGTGCATCACACACATTCAGTGCCCACAGAGGCCAGAAAATGGCATCGGATCCCCTGGAATTGAAGTTACAGATGGTTGTTGACTGCCATGTGGGTGCTGGGAACCAAATCCAGATTTTCTGCAAGAGAAGACAGTGCTCTTAACCCTTAACCCATTTCTTGTTGGGCATGGTAGTGCGTGCCTTTAATCCTAACATTTAGGAGGCAGAGGCAGGAGGATTCTGTGAGTTCGAGGCTAGCCTGGTCTACATAGCAAGTTCCAGGCCAGCCAGAGCTACACAGTGAGACCCTGTCTCAAAAACAAACGAAAAACAAAAACAAAACAAAAATCCTTTCTCCTCCCCATGCTCAAAAAGACCAGAGCTGAGATTCTAGTTCAGGCCTACCTCCTTGTATGTCTTTGCATCAGTCTTGCCCTCTCTGAACCTCAGCTTCCTCTCTGACAGGCATGGCCCTTCAGGAGTCAGTTTGAGCATTCTGAGGGCCAAAGGATTTTACACAGTGATTGCCTACAGGGAGGCTGCTGTAAAAGCTGCTAACCCAGGACTGGAAAATCAAAACAGGAACCTCAGCCCCATGGGCTCTGGTTTCACTGAGAGCCCATGTGGCTACAGCTGGGATGGCTGGGTAGATTGTGGACTGAAAAAGGACACTGGTGCTAGAACTGCATAGAAAGGGGAATGGGACAGAGGGGCACGTAATCAGAACTCCAGGACCAAACGTGGGTTCAGCCTTTGCTCACAAAAGGGGATTCTAGCACTCCCTACTTTGTAGAGTCTAGCCAGCTATGGGAAAGCGGGGTGCAGCCATCCCCTCTAGACTTGACTCGTTAGAACCCCCAGAAATGAGGCAAGTTTCCCTATCTGAGATGTCATCTGCAGGCACCCATCCTCAGATCCAAGGGGGTGCACAAGAGGGTTGCTTCAAGGGCTGCCTGGGGGGCTGAGTCACAGCCACCACTGTGATCTGTCAAAAGACAGATGGAACTGGGGGAAGAGGAGATGAGGTAAGGAGAGAATTGGGGACTGGGTTGGCGTCACCCCTCTCTTGCCCCCCCAACTTCTCTCTCATCCTGGGGAGCAGTTGCTGCCCCACCCCTGGAAGGAGAAAGATGCAGGCAACCAGTCTCTTTAAGTAATGAGTGTCTATGCCCACTCAGGGTGCCTTCTACCCTGGTGCACCCCTCCCTGTAGGCGGAAGGGACTTGGAGCGCCCTCTGTTGGACAGCTGGAGAAACTCACAGTTTGACAGTATGCCCTGAGTCCCCAAACCCAGCAGTCACCGTCACCACCGTGGATCTCGGATTCTGTTATTATTATTTCATGATTATTGAATACCTGAGAGAGATGGGCGCCAGGCAGGCCAACCGCAGGCCGCAGATGGGGTCCTAGTCCTCCCTCCTCTGCTGGGACATGGTTGTGTCCCCATCCTTTGCCGCCCTCGGAGGACAAATGCTGGCTGCCTGGCGGTGGCTGGCTCGCCCAGGAGCTTGCTGGAAAAGTTGTCCCGGGAGCAATTCCTAGGACCCTTCCCACCTCTGAGCGGTTGGATCTCAGTAGGAAGACCAGGGCCTCTTGACACTAACCTGCAATATAGGAACAGGGGCTGTCCTTCTCTGCTTTTTATTTGATTGTATTTTATAAATTTTAATTGTTTTGAGACAGGGCCCCCTCTAGCCCCAGCTGGACTGGAACTCACTACGTAGATCAGGCTGACCATCTCACAGAGATCTGCCTGCTTCTGCCTCCCAAGTGCTGGGATGAAAACCCAGCCCAGCCTTCTATCTTTTTAAAAAATATTTTATTGGGGCTCAGCGGTTAAGAACACTGGTTGTTCTTGCAGAAGACCCAGGTTCAAATCCCAGCACCCACATGGCATTAGGAGTACACAGGCTCAGCTGAAGTCATGATGATGGTAGTTATTTCATGCAGAAGGGACTGTTGTATAGCATCATCTTATTAAAAGGACCACCACATGGAGGCAGGATCTGGGCGCTCTCAGGCAGTCCCCTGTATTCTCAGGCTCTCTGCCAGAGGGAGGCAAGAACTTACAGGCTGTCTGCTTGGATCTCCTGTGCTCTGATTTTTTCCGTAGGCACTTAGAGCTATAAACTTCCACCTTAGGACTGCTTTTAAAGTGTCCTACAGGTTTTTTGTGTTGTATTGTCCGTTTCTTCAAATTCCAGGAATACTTTTATTTCCACCCAGGTCGTGCAATGCCCGTGGAGGACAGATGAGGCTGTCAGATCCCCTGGAACTGGAGTTACAGAGAGTTGTTAGGTGCCATGTGGGTGCTGGGATTCGAAACTGGGTCTTCTGCAAGAACAACCAGTGTTCTTAACCGCTGAGCCATCTCTCCAGTCCC